TGAGAAGACACCCCCACCCAATCAGAACACAGCCAAGCCCCCACCCATTCAAATCCCACCCCCACTGACAGTTAGAAAGAAAAAAGCAGCTGCAACCTCACATCACTCTGAAAAGCAAGAGCCAAAGACAGAGGCCTGATGATGATGAATGAGACTTCATCGAAACGTTGCCTAGACACTTTGAATCTTACGCGGGAGAAAACCCGAACAACCAAAGATCCACATACAAATACCCGCGAGAACCTCAGAAAACAAATATATATATATATATATATATATGCATATATATTAATAATAATAATAATATCACATATACAATACCTTTTTGTATATTCATATCCTTTGACTGTCTTCAAGTAATTTCCTCTGGCTTCATAGTTCATACTAAATTCTAAAAGGGGGTGTGGGCCAGCTCGGAGATCACCCGGCCTTGGTCGTAGCCCTAACTCTAGGTGAGCCAACCGCCTCTAGTGAACTTTATACATTTTCATTTATTAAAATGGCAGATGACAATTCCTCTAAATGCCCTTCTTTGAAGGCTAAATCAAAGTCTTACCACTTGCGCAGGCAGGCTACGGAACCTTCCAAGGCCTCTCAGCGAGACGCCTTAAGGCCCCATAAGGCCTTGGAAAAGGAGTTTGATAGGCATTCCAGGCAGTCACCACAGGTGCCTCGAGCCTCCACTTCTACTCAACTCCCCCCTCTAGACCTTTCTTCCAGGCGCAGCTCCCCTCAGGGTCATCAGGCCCCGGGACCACCGACCAGACGGACTCCTAAAGCCACCTTCACGCCTATGGCTGCTGGTCTGCGCCAAGAGGATCCTTCCACAATGGAGGTTCCAGCTCACATCAAAGCTTGGATGGAACTGGCTATTCGCCAAGGTATTGCAGAGGGGCTGCAACAGATGTCCAGACCCGGCTCCTCCCCAAAAGCCCCCGGACACGAGTCTCTGTCCATCAGATCTCTTCCAGGATCGGATCCTCCTATTGGTCAGGTACTCTTCCAGAGGGATAGCCCTCTTCTGGAAAGGGACCAGGAGGAGGAGGAAGGGGCCTTTGACTATCCTAGGGAAGTGGAAGAAGAATCCCGGATGGGATCTTCCCGCTACAGCGAGCCCCTCCTAGAGGGAGAACTGACCGAGGGGGAGATGTCGGAGGATGAGGGGCTTTCCCCTGACCAACCCCCACTTGTGGGTTTGTTCAAGCCCCACATGTTTAAATCCCTTCTGTTTAAAGCCAAAAACGTTTCTGGCCTTCTTCCTCAGTCTCCCTCTGCCCCCCCCCCCCCCCCCCCCCCCCGGCACCTTCCAGTCAGGATAAGAGATTCTTCAATCTCGACCCGGACTTTGCTAACCTACTGGACATCCCCGAGGTAGATCAGCCCATTGTGGCACTAGCGTCCTCCTCCTCCCCCAGTGAGGCCCTGGAGGCACTGAAGCCCGAGGACAAACGAGCGGAACTGGCCTTACACCGCGCCCACCTATCCGATGCTTGGGCCATTAGATCCGCCACGGCCGCCTCTTTCTTCACCAGATCCTCAATCCAGTGTCTTCGCCAGTTGAAGCAACACATTCCCTCCTCCAACGTACGTGCACATCAGGATATAGCCAAGCTCGTGGCGGCAGCGGAATTCTCAGCTGACGCCACTTACCAATCAGTGAAGTTCTCCTCTAGAGCTATAACCTCACACGTTACGGCCCACCGCCTGCTCTGGCTCAAACCCTGGCAGGCGGACGTTAAAAATAAAGTTAAACTAGCCTCCGCTCCCATTAGAGGGGACAAACTGTTCGGCCCAGCCTTAGATCCCCTGCTGGTCGAGGGCCGCAGTAAGAAAAAGTTTCTTCCCTCCCTCTTCCAGAGGTCAGAATCTAGAGGCCCTCAGCCCTTTCGAAGAGGCTCCCCCCGTCCCTTCTATCAGCCTCCCTTTCCGCCCAGATACCCAAGACCCCCTTCTTTCCAATCCCAACCCCAGGATCGAACTGACATGGGTGACAGAAGCAGAAGGGGCGGCAGCTATAGGAAACCCTATAGGGGATCAGGGGGAAGACCCTTCCATCGTCCCAGATAGAGCACATTCCTCCCTCCCCATTGGCGGCCGCCTCAGACACTTCGCCACCCAATGGGATGCATCCACCACCGATGCTTGGGTTAGAGACACCATCAGGTTTGTTCTCGCCCTTGAGTTTCAGTCAGCCCCCTCTGACTTCTTCATGGCATCCCCCCCCCCAAGGGACCCCGCCAAACGCCAACTGATGGATGCCGCCATCCAACATCTTCTCAACATTCAGGCCATTCAACCCGTTTCCCCAGCCCAGCGAGGTTGGGGATTTTACTCCCACCTCTTTGTGGTCCCCAAACATTCCGGGGGATGGAAGGCCATTTTAGATTTAAAACGACTTAACCGTCACTTAATTCAGCGCAAATTCAAGATGCACACCTTGCAATCTATCTTCTTGGGTACCAGGCAGGGAGACTGGCTATCCTCTATAGACCTCTCTGAAGCCTATCTACACATCCCAATCCGTCCCTCCCACCAAAAATTCCTTAGATTCTGTTATAACAACCTTCACTTTCAATATGTGGCCCTCCCCTTTGGCCTAGCATCGGCTCCGAGGACCTTCACCAAGGTCCTTGCGGCCCTAGCGGCTCACCTCAGAAGCCTTCCCGTACGACTTCATTGCTATCTGGACGATATTCTCATCCTGTCTTCCTCCAAACGCCAGGCAAAAAGGGACACCAGGGCTACCCTTTCAGCCCTCCAAGCCCACGGGTTCCTTATCAATTGGAAAAAGAGCCAGCTGGCTCCCTCCACCCGAATCACTCACCTGGGGGCCATAATCGATTCGGTTTCAGAAAAGGTCTTCCTCTCTTCAGACAGGTTCCTCAGTATCCAAAGTCTGGTCAAACAAATTAGGCGCTCTAGGAGGGCATCCTTACTTGACCTTTGCAAATTGTTAGGTAAGATGGTCTCGTGCATTTCCATTGTTCCCTGGGCCCGTTTACACAGCAGGTCCCTGCAGTGGTTCCTGCTCCCTTTCCAAAGATCCGGAAGAAGCAACTCGAAGTCCAGGGTCCAGGTACCTCCACAGGTCCTCACGTCCCTCCTCTGGTGGACCAACCCCGCCATCAACAAGGGCCATCTCTTCAAAGAGCCCCAGAGGCTTACCCTTACCACAGACGCCAGCTTATCCGGTTGGGGCGCTCACATCAACGCGCTCGTGGCACAGGGCAGATGGTCGAGGATAGAACAAGGATGCAGCATCAACTGGCTGGAGCTCCACGCCGTCCATCTGGCTCTGCGAAGCTTCTTCCCTCAGGTGCACAAACGTCATGTCCTCATCCTCACGGACAACGTCACGGCCAAGGCTCATATCAACAGGCAAGGGGGCACCCAGTCTATTCAGTTGATGAGGGAGGCCGAACGTCTCTGTCGTTGGGCAGAGTCCAACCTCATCTCGTTAAGAGCAGACCATATTT